AAAAAAAAAAAAAAAAAAAAAAATCGAATGGACACTCAACTGACTGAGCACCCCAGGTGCCCCAGGATTATTTTCTACAGGTCTGAGGCAGCCAGGTCTATCAAAGAGAGCTCCTGAGACTCACCAGAGAGAAAACTTGATAAAAACCATTCAGGTTTTTATTTTTATAGGAAAATGGGATCAGTGATATGTTCATTAAAAAAATAAAAGGAAAAAAAGAGTAGCAGAATTTTACACTTGCTAACTGGTTATTAAATACATCACAACTACAATAAATACTACACGATACAATGCCACACCAGGTGGTTAGCTAACTACTGCAACACCACCATAAATCCAGCATTGTCTGACGTTTGCTTGCAGGTGTGGGAAGTGTGGCAGTCTGTGAGGTTTTGTGACATGGAAAGAGAGTGATCTGAAATCGGGCAGCAAATTTTGGGTTGGTGTGGCTCACACTTAGGTAGCTGGTAGATACTTGAGGTGTGTATAGGTACATGTGCATTTGGTATATTCCTTCAAGGCTCCACATGCTAGGTGCAGTTTTTTGTTTTGTTTGTATGTACCTAGGGTTTCCCTTGCAGGAAAAAAAAATCTTCATAAGCAAACATGAAATTGCTGTTACGCTCAAATCACTCCCTAATACTACAGCTACATGGAACAAATTTGTATTTTCAAAAGAAGGCTTGTAACACAATTGAGTGTGCCTTTCACTTTCCTCTTTTTGCCTCAGATCGCCAACTCCCCATTCCCTCCCAGGCTATATCTCCAAATCTTTGTAGCCTTTATCCCCTTTACCTGAAACTTTCATAGCTCAGCAGGGAGATTCTTCCTTACGGGGTAGACTAGTAATTTGGCAGGACCCCGTAAAAATCCAACAGCAGTCTCCCTGCTTCTGTGAGTACCCGGACAATGACCCCCCCACCCCCACCCCCCGTCCTGGTCTTTTCATCGATCCTTCCCTCCATCCCTCCTACGGACCCACTCACCATTCAGCATTGCTCTAATTTCCATACACCATGAACTCAGGTTCATGTTCTCAAAGATGGTGAGGGTCACTTCCCAGATCTGCCTTTCTGAAAAGTATTCACTCAACAGACAGAACAGGTTAATGGGATCGATGGCTTTCAAGTTTGCCCAGGGAATCTGCTGGAAGTTCCCAAGAAGCAGCTGTGAGGACTGGAGACAGACCTTGAATTCCTCCAGCTGAGGCTGATCCAGGCCCATCAGGTAAGACAGAAGCTTATTATAGAAACGATCTTCGACATAGATGTTCGCAGAGGAGCTCATCTTGCTTAACATGCAGGATTTCTAGCTTTGCGCAACAACTGTTGCATCCACAACACAAACAGAACCTATAGAGAAGAAATGGAGTTGAAACCATAAGCCAGGACTTTCACCTCTTCCAAAACTAATCAACATGCTTGCTCTATCTTCTCCCAGAAGTACTTCTGCTATCTGTGTTTCAATACTTGTCTCTCATCTGCAAGACCGTGAACTCCCTCTGGACAGAGACATGGTCTGTCCTTGGCTGCATGACCAGTGCCTAAAGCAGTACCTGGCACATGAGAAGGAATAAGCGATACCAAACACTTACTCCACACTACAGTAGGTCACTCTCATTTCATTCTCTAAACCACCAGTGACACACAGGTACATCAGTTAGCTCTATTTTATAAACTTGTCAATGAAAGGATATCTTTAAATTGCTGTAAAGAGGGGCACCTGGGTGGGTCAGCCGGTTAAGCATCTGACTTTGGCTCAGGTCTTGATCTCATGGTTTGCAAATTCAAGCCCTGCACTGGGCTCTGTGCTGACAGCTTGGAGCCTGGAGCCTGGTTCCAATTCTCTCTCCCTCTCTCCCTCTCCCCCTTCCCTACTCATGCTCAGTCTTTGTCTCTCAAAAATAAACAAACATAAAAAAACTAAAAATAAAATAAATTGTCATAAAGGAAAGAAACACACTTCTCACCTAGATTATGTTTAGTGAAAATGTCCTTTAGAAATGAAGGTAAAATACAGACTCTTAACTATAGAGAGCACACTGATGGTCACCTGAAGGGAGGGAATGAAGGATGGGGGAAATAGGTGATGGGGATAAAGGTGTGCACCTGTTGTGATGAGCACCAGGTGATGTAAGGAAGTGTTGAATTATTATTTTACACTTGAAACTAATACTACACTGTATGTTAACTGCTATTTTTTAAACATTTTTGAGTGAGAGAAAGAGCACACGTGTGCATGTTGGAGGAGCAGAGAGAGGGAGACAGAGGATCTGAAGCAGGCTCTGCACTGAAAGCAGAGTCCAATGTAGGGCATGAAGCCTACTTAAAACACACACAAACACGCACCCACACAAACTGGGGCATCTGGGTGTCTCAATCAGTTGAGTGTCTGACTTCAGCTCAGGTCATGACTTCATGGCTCATGGGTTCAAGCCCTGCATTGGGCTCTGGGCTGAAAGCTCAGAGACTGGAGCCTGCTTTGGATTCTGTGTCTCCCACTCTCTGCACCCCCCCCATTCATGCTCTCTCAAAAAATGAATAAACATTAAAAATTAAAAACAAAAAATGAATAAACATTTAAAAATTACAAACAAAAGGTCTAGCAAGAAGATAGACCAAAACCACAATGTGTTATAGAAACATACAGGAGATAAATACTGACTGAAGAAAACTATGTCAAACTGGGTAAAAATAAGAGGCATATGACAAGTATCAGAGCACAAAACATTTTAAGTAAACTAATGTGAAACAGTGCAGGGTGCATACCCTAACCAGAAAGGAAAAAGTTTAACTGTAACATTACTTAAGCACACTTAAAGACAAAATTCTCACTGAACACAGAGGCCATTTTATAATAGGACAAGTCCAGCAGGAAAACTGAATACCTCTAAATTTTTATGTACCTGATAATACAGCTTCAAAATCCATAAAGCAAAAAAGGAAATTTTAAAAATTGGAGATTTTAACACAGATCTCCATCACTAAGGGGACAGGGGGAAAAAAGTGTAAGATATAGAATATATTTTTTAATTTTTTTTAACGTTTTCTTTATTTCTAGGAGAGAGAGAGACAGCGTGAGCGGGGGTGGGGGGTCAGAGAGAGAGGGAGTCACAGACTCCGAAACAGCCTCCAGGCTCTGAGCTGGCTGTCAGCACAGAGCCCGACGCGGGGTTCGAACCCATGAACCGCGAGATCATGACCTAAGCAAAAGTCGGACGCTTAACCGACTAAGCCACCCAGGCGCCCCAAGATATAGAATATTTTAACATCACTAACCAACTTGACCTAACTGACATGTATGTACAGAACATGATCCCCAATAACCGCAGTGAGAACATCCTAATTTTACTAACGGTCAGAACACTTCAGGAGACATCTCAGAGATGAGGTTATCCAAAAGACCCATGAGCAGGACTTATCAGATAATTTCCACTCAATCCACAATGAGATACACAAGGAGTTGGGTATACCCCAACGGAGGAGCTAGAATGGTGAAGGCCGATATCCCGTGTGGTCACTGACGTGGAGCTGGAATACCCATGTAAAAAGATATGACCACTGTGTACAACTGCCTGGCAGCATGTCCTAGAGCTACATGCACACAGGTTCTTCAGTTCCTCTCCCAGAAGCGTGTCCTAAAGACACAAATAAGAACGTTTACAGCAGTTCTAGTTGATGATAATCAAACACTTGGAAGAAACCAAATGTCCACCAATGTAGGAATGTGTTACATGTATACAATGGCATTCTGTACAGCAGCACATAAAACCACATGCACCTCTCAGTTATTACGTGGAGAAGAGAACAGATAAAAAGAGGTATGCAGTGCATAATAGTCTTTTTTTTAATGTTTATTTTTGAGGGGGGAAGGGGCAGAGAGAGAGGGAGACACAGAATCTGGGGCAGGCTTCAGGCTCCTAGCTGTCATCACAGAGCCCTATGTGGGGCTTGAACTAACGGACTAGGAGATCATAACCTGAGCCAATGTTGGATGCTTGGCTGAGCCACCAGGCGCCCATACTATTAAAGCATAATAGCTGATTATGCTTTACGTACATATTAAAACATAATAGCTTTATATGAAGCTCAGAAATCAAGCTACCATTAGAGAATTTAGAGTAATGATTAGCTCTGGGGAAGCCTGGGAGGGAACACTTGTGGTTATTCTAGGGTACTGGACACATTCAGGGTCTTGAACAGTGAGAGAAGGCATTACAGTATATGTAAGACGTGTTAAGCTGCTATAAGGGCAAATATGAATCAAAAGTTAAAATTCTTAATATTCACTCATGTAAAAAAAAGAGGAAGAGACTTCCCTCCTCATTTTTTAAAAAGCTTTATTTCTTGGGGCGCCTGGGTGGCTCAGTCGATTGAGTGCTGACTTTGACTCAGGTCATGATCTCATGGTCTATGGGCTCAAGCCCCATGTCAGGCTCTGTGCTGACAGTGAGGAACCTGGAGCTGCTTCAGATTCTGTGTCTCCCCCTCTCGCCTCCCCTGCTCACGCTCTGTCTCATGTCTCTCAAAACTAAACATTGAAAAAAAATTTTTTAAGTTTTGAGAGACTCCTACCCCTCGTGCTGTCTCTCTCTCAAAAATAAGTTGTTTTTTTTTTAAATTTTAGATATTTTGAGAGAGAGAGAGAGAGAGAGAGAGAGAGAGGGAATGCCAAGCAGGCTCCTCACCATCCATGCAGAGCCTGATGTGGGGCTCAGACTCATGAACCATGAGATCATGACCTGAGCAGAAACCAAGAGTCAGATGCTTAACCAACTAATCCATCCAGGAGCCCCTCCTCATTTTCTAATTTAAGCCTTATTGGGGTATAACTGACAAAGCTGTAAGATATTTCAAGTATTCACTGTGGTGATTTGATTTGATAAATGTATGTGTTGTGAAGGATTCTCCCCATCGAGTCAACACATCCGTCACCTCACTTGTATATACATATGAAATCATTCAAGTTGTACTCTCAGCAAATTGCAATCACACAATATAGCATTATCCACTACAGTCACCATGTTTGACATTAGATCCTCAGACCTTATCTTATAGCTCGAAGCTTTGCCCTTTTACCGCCTCTTCGTCCTTCCCCTATCTCCCAAGGCCCTCCCACAAGGATGACCCAGGAAGACCTTTTGCTTAGGGAGATAAGCCAGAAAGAAAAATACTGCACGGTATCGCTTACATGGGTCATCTTAAAATAAAATTTAAAAAGTCATAGAAACAGAAAGTGGACAAGAGGTTGCCCCTTCCTTAAGGGCATTTCTTTAGCAAACTTGTCTTTGCAAATTTTTTCTCTGGCTCTTTGAGATGCATGGAAACATCTTAAAAGTCTAAGTTGCCTCTTGCTGGTGTTGCTCTGAGCTATAAACACCAAGGAAGATGGTGGCCCTATCCCTCAGTCTCCAGGACACTTTAATTGAGGTCCTGGTTCCAAGTTGTGATTACCTGCTTGTCCTAGAGAAGATACAAGGTTCATTACTTTTTTGGTGAAAGACAGTTAGCTCTTACAAATGGTCACCTCGATTACCAGGTAAATTTTGGATGAAACGCATGTATCAAATGTTGCTGCCAACTCCTGATACAAGTGCTCATACTAAAGACAAGTTATTTATCTTGAGAACATAGAAGTAACCAGCTGTATCCACTGGGCTTTATAAACAGGGCCGATTTTCCATCTGCCTTTCTATCCTCTTTCTTGATTCACTGGTGATGCACTTCGACTAAGCATTAAGCCTGACTGCAATAAAATGTTTTTCTCTTTTGTAAAGAGGTGTTCTGGGTTGGCAGGAGATTTTGCCTTCCTCCAACACCATGCGCTTAAGATGGTCTATGCTTTGTGCAGGTTACAATTCAACAAGGAACCAAAGAAACCCACTTCAAGATGGCTACGCATGGCAACTGTTAAAAAAACACACAGTAAGTCAGCAACAGCCTTGTGCATGGGGCCTCTGCCTTGCAGAACTACTTCAGTTACCACCAGGTTGGACCATGTAAAGATTGCCCAGACTCATACAATTTCCTATCTACAAAGACAACGAGTTCATAAGATTTGATATTTGAGGTCCTACTTCATGCCAGTTACTGGAGGCAAAACATAGTCATGGTGCAAGCTCTCAGGTCTCACGAGGGAACCCCAAGATTTCGTCCTGATCACCATTTTATTCCAAAAGTGCTCAACACATTGCAGGCACCCAAATATGTATCGAATAAATGGTTAATGCAAAGGTGGAAAAGATTCAACCAAATCACTTAAACCACAGAATCCAGGATAATAGGAGG